TAGATAGATAGATAGAACGATAGAACGATAGACAGACAGACAGACAGACAGACAGATAGAACGATAGATAGATAGATAGATAGATAGAAATGAATGATGCTATACAAATCAAATGTATCATTTATCATTCGTTTTTATTGATTTTTATAGATATGATGATGCTACACAGATCAAACGTATTGTTTATTCATATATTGATTGATTTTAATTTTTCTTGAGTTTTATATTTATTTTTATTGAGTTTAACAGATAGATATAAATAATCCTATTCAAATTAAATGTAATTTTTTTTGTTTTATAGATAGATATGAATGATGCTTCACAAATAAAATGTATTATTTATTTATTTTTATTGAGTTTAATAGATGATATAAATGATCCTATTCAAATTAAATGTAATTTATTTATTTTTTTAATTTTATAGATAGATATGAATGATTCTACACAAATAAAATGTATTATTTATTTATTTATTTTTATTGAGTTTAATAGATAGATATAAATGATCCTATTCAAATTAAATGTAATTTTTTTTTTGTTTTAAAGATAGATATGAATGATGCTTCACAAATTAAATGTATTAGTAATTTATTTATTTTTAATAAGGTCAAAGTCAAAGAAACTAAATGCAAACATTAGATATGGAAAACAGAAAGGCTAAACAATACAAGCAATAAATATTTAGATGAGTAATTTCGTTTCTATATTTTTTTATTCTGACCTGTGAAGCACTTTGAGCTGCATTTTATATATGAAAGATGCAATTAAAATGTATACAATTAAAATACAATTTTAATTATATATGATTAAAAATATTTGATTTGATTTTAAAGGTCAAAGTAAGGGAAAAACTCAATGCAAGCATTGAAAACGACACCTGGCCTTTCCTGAGCGCCGGAGCGATTGATTCCTCTGTGGAAATCTCATCTGTCTCAATCACGGCAGACATGCAAACGTCAGTGCTCGTCCTCACCGCTCACGCTCTAATCGGCCTTTACGCTGATAGAATAATAAAGTAGATCTGATCAAATCCCAGTCGTCTCTCACACTCGTGTCCAGCGGTGGACGGTGATCTCTGCAGCTCCGGGCTTCTGTTTAACCCCCATCTGATTGTGTTCAGCTGACAGACGAGTTATCTGTCTCACGTCTCGCCGTTAAAGGGATAGTTCACCCAAAAATGAAAATGTGATGTTTATCTGCTTACCCCCAGGGCATCCAAGATGTAGGTGACTGTTTCTTCAGTAGAACACAAACGGAGATTTTTAAGTCAAACCGTTGCAGTCTGTCAGTCCTATAATGTCAGTGGATGGGAATCACGGCTTTGAGAGTCATAAAACATACACAAACAAAACCAAATTAAACCCTGCGGCTCGTGATGATACATTGATGTGTAAAGACACGAAACGATTGGTCTGTGCAAGAAACTGAACAGTATTTATATTGTTTTTTACCTCTGATTTTTACCTCGCAATGTCCGAATGGTCCCGAGCGCCTTCGCGTCGTCTTCTTCAGCCGGCGCGTGAGTCATCTTCTTCTTCTTCTTGCTTTACGGCGGATCGCAGACTTATAAGTGCATTACCGCCACCTATCTCTCAAATGGACCATTGACACTCTATCTACAATCTCAATTAGGAGTGTCAATGGTCCATTTGAGACCCATTTGAGACCAATGGTCCATTTGAAAATCAGAGGTAAAAAACAATATTAATACTGTTCAGTTTCTTGCACAGAACAATCGTTTCATGTCTTTACACATCAATGTATCATCACGAGCCGCAGGGTTTAATTTGGTTTTGTTTGTGTATGTTTTATGACTCTCAAAGCCATGATTCCCATCCACTGACATTATAGGACTGACAGACTGCAACGGTTTGACTTAAAAATCTCAGTTTGTGTTCTACTGAAGAAACAAAGTCACCTACATCTTGGATGCCCTGGGGGTAAGCAGATAAACATCACATTTTCATTTTTGGGTGAACTATCCCTTTAACTCAGGATTAACTCGGTTAACCGTATGAAGCTGTGAATGTTACTGCAGCGTCCACTGAGAACGTTTCATTTATGATGTTCAAATCACGTTCTGTTCTGATGAATGGATGAAATTTCTGTGCGTATGTATGCTGAATGGCAGTATTTCAACAGTAAGGCAGTGCAATAGTGTGAGAATATGTTTTGAAAATGTTTTTATATTTTTCGGGTATTTTTGCATTTTATGTTTATTCTTGCAATTTTATCTTTCAATGTACTTTCTGCTATTATTCAATTTTAGTATTGCTAAGCAGAAATGTAAATAAAATTCAAACTAAATCAGAATGTCTCAAAGGCAATGTTAGTCACAATGTGCAGTCAATGCACGATATTCACAATATAACAGTCTTGTGCTTCTATGAAATAGTTACTACTGTCATTTCTGCTCTGTAAACCATTCTGAACTCTATAATATAATAATTCGTGTGTGCTGTAATTTAAGGAAGTTTTATATATATATATATATATATATATATATAAAGCATTTATCAAACAATCAAAATTATGCACAGGTCAAACTCAGTGAAACTTTATCATTTAAAAATTGTTATTTTATTATTATATAATTTTTATATTATTATTTTATTATCATATCATAACAGATTTCAGATTTTTGATGAGGTTGTTGGAATTACTAGAAATATAATAATATTAAAAAAATGTATATAATATAAAATAATATAGTGCTAATAATACAATGTAATATAAAAATAACATATAATAACAATAAAATACAATTTTTGCGTTTTACAAGACAGCATTTCAGTCATTCTACTTCATTATTTCTGGTTTAATTCAATGTTACTTCTTTGTAATTATTTGTGAAATTTACTAGCAATTTCTGAGTGAAAATTGTTTTGAAGTAAATCCTATACCAATTTTCTCAGTGTAGGCCAAGCCAATATTTTATTTTATTCGACCCACATTAAAAAGTATTTACAATGTTTTAGACATTTAAAGGTCAATGAAGAAGCACTTGATTTCCGTCTTTGTAAATTGACTTTAATATTTCATCCAATATATCCAGTAACCCTGATTCTGTATATGACTCATTTACTCTGTCACAGTGAATAGATGTTTTTCAAGTGTTTTCTGAGTGAAGGATGAGTGATTTGCAGATACATGCAACATGTTTGAGTCTCTCAGTAACCAGTGCGCTTGTTTCTCCGTTCAGCAATATTTCCATGCGGGTGGAAACGGTCTCAAGAAAACCTTCCTGGAGAAGAGCCCCGATCTCAAGTCCTTGAAATACGCCCTCAGCCTTTACACTCAACCCACAGATGCCTTGATCAAGAAATATATATGCACCCAAACCTCTCAAGGTAAGAGCATTCTCGCTGTCATGAGAGAGAGAGAGAGAGAGAGAGAGAGAGAGAGAGAGA